CCTAATTGTTAACTAATCAATAATCCTTAGAGCTATGGTCGGAGCAATCATCTAACAATGAGATCAATTCTTATAAATCCATACGTAGCACGGGTTGAACCTGAGACCTTCCCGAGGGTGTATCGAAATACTAGAAAATCTGGAAGAAGGCATCTTCTGGGGTTTCCAAAACACCCATAATAGGAATTTCGGGTTAATATACTCTCTCCTTTCTATTTCCCTCCACCCCCTCGATGCGCTCTTATGCACCCTTTCGTGCACTCGGTTGAGAGGAACCGCGGACCCGAGAGAAGTGGAATTAATTTGAGGAAAAGTGACGGGGTGGACCGCCCCCGATGAGGTGCATTATTCGAAGGGACATCCAAGCGAGCCCCCCGATTTTTGATCGGGTCCAGAAAGCGTGTATAATATGTATAATAAATATAATAGATACGAGCGAAGAGAGGCTCATTGTCAGGACGCGTCCCGGCGCATCCTCGGGGTGAATGAATCCTGGGAAGTCAGAGTTAATATCTTCATAGGTAGGGAGGAGTCGGGAAGAAAGAGAGAGAGAGAGAAAAAAATGAAGAAAAGTAATGTCACTGTCGGGGCCCGGTTTGGGCCCATTGACTGATCCCGGCCGGTCAAGTGGCTCCCATTCGGGACGTTCGGATGGATCCTTGGAGTCCTTTGCACAAAACCGGGATAGACTCACGGGGTAGGAGGGGGGAGAGGGTTTCCAAAGGGTCGGTCCATTATGTCCCACCCACCGTTCACGCTTCTCATCCTTGTGGAGCGGCCGATTTTTCACTTTTCCCAAAATTACGGCCGTCTCTCGGATTTTCATCCCCGGGCTGTCGCGACTCGGGATTTATAGTCCGAGAGAGCCGGGTCAGAGAGAAAGAGAGATTTTAGTGCCTTTCCGACCATCGCCGGGCGTTAACGAGACAATTTCGAGGCCGAGGAGGCCCAATATTTGCTGAAGGGACCGCTTAGACGGCCGCGATTTTGGGCCCGATCGCTAACACCAAGGAGTTTCGCCGAGGTTCGTATTATCGCCTTTCTTCATTAGCATGTACTAAAAGGATGTTGAAAATTATAATTTCAATGTTTACTGCACTTCTCCGTGGGTCCGGGATTTTGGGCCCGATCAATGACGCCGAGTTGGGCCTCATATTCTGAAGGAATTTCGCTGAGATTTGTATTATCGCCTTTCTTAATTAGTATGTACTAAAAGGATGTTGAAAATTATAATTTCAATGTTTACTGCACTTCTCCGTGGGTCCGGGATTTTGGGCCCGATCAATGACGCCGAGTTGGGCCTCATATTCTGAAGGAATTTCGCTGAGATTTTTATTATCGCCTTTCTTAATTAGTATGTACTCAAAGGATGTTGAAAATTATAGTTTCAATGTTTACTGCACTTCTCCGTGGGTCCGGAATTTTGGGCCCGATCAATGACACCGAGTTGGGCCTCATATTCCGAAGGAATTTCGCTGAGATTTTTATTATCGCCTTTCTTCATTAGCATGTACTCAAAGGATGTTGAAAATTATAATTTCAATGTTTACTGCATTTCTCCGTGGGTCCGCGATTTTGGGCCCGATCGCTAACGCCCAGGAATTTCGCTGAGGTTCGTATTATCGCCTTTCTTCATTAGCACGTACTAAAAGGATGTTGAAAATTATAATTTCAATGTTTAATGTACTTCTCCGGGCCCACAATTTTGGGCCCTATCTCCTAACGAAGAATCTCCAAAGAAGAACCTACCCGAGATTTCCAATCACCGCACGAACATCCTTTATCATAAATATGCAATATAACATCCCTTATCATAAATATGCAATATGCTCTTTCTTTTTAGCAATTGGGCCACACACACTTCTTTGTAGATACGAAACCAATAAACGCGAAAAATCCATAATTGGTCCAACTCGACGTCACGCAGTGATCCGGCAGTGTTTCAGAGCCGATAAGAGTAATCTCGCAGAATTGGGCCTTTCGGGGACCACCTATGGTGTCGGACAAGAATTGCCACTCGACTCCTCAGCATGAAATCCCGGAAAAGTACTCAATGCGACATACTACGATTCTGTATCAACGAGCGAAATTTCGAAAGCCGCGGCCTCGCTCTCTTGATAAGAAGGGGTCGATAAGAGCGTCTCCTAACCTCACCCAAGCCTCCACAGAGAAAAAAAAAAAAGAAACAGAAACATCATAATCAATCACAAGTAATCGACTATCAATTGAGCCCCAAAACTGACGACGATTCCGTTATCACGCGATCGGGTGATAGCTTCACTTAGACCGTTTTACTGATTTTTCAGGACGCACTCAGTACGGAAAAAAAAATGTCAAAAATCGTCGTACGCGGAAATAATTTTACCGATTCCTAGAAACACACTTTGAGGGGACAAACGATGGAAATTAATTCATGTATGATTAGGAAATAAAGAATTGTTTGCTTAGGGAATAAATAAAAGAATTGGAAATTCTGCAGCGCAGATGCAACGCTTCTCGCTCCGCCGTCGCTCTGCAGAAGAGGACTAAACTTCGTATTTTGATACGCGGTCCTTATCAGAGAGGACTTTGGAGTTCCGCTGAGAGCTAAGCGTCGACGCGTTCGATAAAGCAGAATATTTTAAACGCCCGCGGCGTTTCCACGCCGAGACGCGATCGGGGTCTCCGTGATAAGAGCTCTCGCGTCGACACCTGGGTCTCTTATCAAATCCATAATTGCATTTCTAATTCCCTCGGGCATTCTGAATAACCAGCCTAATCTCCTTTTCTACTACGAATTTAACGAAAAGTAAGATGGCGGCGGGTCCCAATTAGCGAATATTAATAGAGCAGGATTATCGCCGTTAAAAATAAATATTTGTGAGTGTTAGTCTTACCAAATCCACAATTGCATTGGCAAAATTAATTAAGAACGTTTACATCGATTCATTTTCGAATTTTACTCGCCATTGAATTAAAATATATCAAATGTAAAACCCAGGAAAGCAACTTAAATGGCGGGCGATTATTTTTCTCGTAAAATAAAGAAAGTCGATCTTATCAAATCCATAATTGCATTTCTAATTGCCTCGGGCAAGATTGCCGAGGGCAGATTCCAACTTGGATGCACTAATAAACCACTAAAAGTTCTCGAAATTGCTCTCTAAGCAAAATCACACGACCGACGCGCGAGGACTCCCAACAAAGGACTGACGGCTAAGATTTCAATTTTTCTTCTTCAACGGTGTATGACGTAGTGTTGCATCATCCTTTCAGGCGTATATATCTACGAGGATAAATCTTCCTCATGATTTAACCCCTAACGCACGTGCCATTAAATAAAAACTCCAAGATTACCAGAACAGAACTGAATTCGTCGAAGGCATCCAAGATGGCGGCGGTCACAATTTGTCAAGCCCGCTCGGCGAAGCAGCGGCGGCGCATCGCCTTAACGGCGGGTATTTGTCAGGGTGTTAATTACCGCGCTAACTAATATTGGGAGATATCGTAGTTTCAAGAGTATCCCCCTCTCTCTTCCTCCGGGTGCCGGCGAGGGAGAGGGAGAGAAAAAGTGTTGACCGCTCCGCAGGAGCGGAGGAGAAAGGAGGAGTAAACACGGTACATAGAGGGGGGCTCGCGGAACGGGGAGCGGCTCGGGACCAGACGAAAAAATTCCGAATATTTATGTTCGGTATTATTAGCGTGCATCGCGATATCTCGGTGGGCATCGCTAATTAGTCCGCGACCGCTGGGCCTTTCGGCAAACAGTGCTGGCTACTGTCCGCGGGGCGGCCCGTAATCAAGATGGTGGCGCTAACCGCCACCGGCGCGGCCGATTCCGAAACTAATTGGCGAGGCTAATTTATCTCGCGATATCCATAAGGAGGCGCTCCGCGCGCCGAGCAATCCTAACCCGAGGAATCCGTTACGACCGTTAGGCGGGACGTGCGTCCGAGAAAGGTGAAATACAGCGGTGGTATAGGAGTAGACGTGAGTACATGAGGTTATGTTATATATGGGAGGTTACAGGGTGTCCCGGAACTCCCGGTTATCCCTGAAACCGGTGAAAACTGACGTTTCGAGTGGAAACATCCTCTTTGCTTTCTCGAATCGTTTTAAAACTTACAACGTTAATATAGAGACGATAAGGAAGGTCCTGACATCCATATTTTTCAAATTTTTTTCTTCTTCAGCTCGTAGGTATTTTTCAAATTTTCTGTAAAAAATTAAATTTCGTGAGTATCGATACCTTGAAGACCAGAGAGTTTTTAGATCAGCATAATTTATTAACCCCTTGGCTGCTAAGAGCGCTTAAAGGCGTCCGACGTTTGGTCCAATATCGCCTGCACGGTCAGAGGAATTTCGCCCATATGTCGAAACGGCTCTGTGTTCGAAAAATTAAATTAAAATATTTTGAATGTGTACGGACATTCCATGGGCGTTCAAGAATCGGGTATTCGAAATTTAATGCGGAATTCCAAGAGGTACTGGGAATTCTGGAACACCCTGTACAAGCCTGGGTATACTGGATTATAGGTTAGTATATGTCGGGCCCGGTAGGGAGTTCTTAATTGCCCGAAACGGATTAGCCCGTTCGGGCCCGACCGATTATCCGCGGCTTATTAATTCCCGCCGGCCGTTTTTACTTATCCCTGGTTTTATCTTCCAATATGGCGGAGCCCGCCGCCACGTGGAGGCGCCCTGACGACTGCATTAACGGCCAGGTGAAAATACGAGAAGCGAGCGTATCTCGCGACATCTTCAGGCCCTTTTAGGATCGAAAAAGAAGTCCCGTTCCGAGGGTCAGGAATTCTTTAATGCCATCTATCGACAAAATCCCCAATCATTTCATTGTCAACCCAATAACAACGCTGCGCCTGGAATCTCCAAATCGTCCTCAAAATGGCTCCCCTGGCGCGAAATTTGAAACGGCCAAAAGCTAATGGTACCCTGTTAATAACACATTATTATTTCATAAGGAATATGTAGGCTCATTCATAAGGAATGTGTAGGAGTTTAATTTTAAGGCATCGAATCTCTAAAATGAATGTCATTCCATTTCAACCTTATGTACTAGAATCTTGTTAAGAGTACATGCAGGGGAATGTAATGAACGAGGTTACCTTGCGACATTGAGATTTATTACACGGGATTAGCTCATCCGACTCGCCTTCACACGTTTATTACAAAAATGAGAATAATCGTCCGCCCGCGCGCAGTAATTTCGCCCAATATGTATGTACAGAGACTCTTGACTCTCTCTTAGTCAATCTCGTTACGAGGTTTGCGCGCGGACGCGCCGTTGTATTTACACAGTGCATACACGCGACGCCCCCGGCGTGTATTTACTTATTCTTAATCCTAGATGAGTATCTATGTACACTGAGCGCGATAACTCTGGAGAATTATTGGTGCACCGTTCCGCGAAAGTGCAGTAGCCCCTCCCACAGAAGAAAGGAGGGGATAGCCACGCCCATTTTCAAGTGGGAGGGTGCATTGAAGGAGTCTAACTGTAATGGTTCGTATCTTTCTCTTTATCCAGACAAGAAAAAGTACCTTCTTGCGGTCTGTCCTCGTTTCGCGAAAGTACAGTAGCACATCCTATACAACAAAACAGGGGATAACCACGCCCCCTTTAAAGTGGGAGGGTGCACCGAAGGAGGTCTAACTGTAATGGTACGTATCTTTCTCTTTATCCAGATAAGAAAAAGTACCTTCTTGCAGTCTGTCCTCGTTTCGCGAAAGTACAGTAGCACATCCAATACAACAAAACAGGGGATAACCACGCCCACTTTCATGTGGGAGGGTGCATTGAAGGAGTCTAACTGTAATGGTACGTATCTTTCTCTTTATCCAGACAAGAAAAAGTACCTTCTTGCGGTCTGTCCTCGTTTCGCGAAAGTACAGTAGCACCTCCCATGGAAGAAAGGAGGGGATAGCCACTCCCATTTCGGAGTGGGCGTGTGCCCTGAGGGCGGGCTAACCGTAACGACACGCCTCCTTCACTTCTTCGTCCTGATCTCGTCCACACAGGAGATAAAACCGTTCCTCTTTGTACATTTACTAGTCTTTCCGGGAAGGATTTTTTTCTTCTTTCCTTCGCGCGTTTATAAATAATCTTCATTTACAGTCGCCGGTTCCAAGCTCGGTGCCGGATCTCATCCTCTCGAGGGATGCTGGGCGATGGCGTGGTGGGCGGCGAGTCCGGAGTGAGAGAGGATGCTCACCGGGTACAACCGGGCTGGCCCCAGGAGGCCATGATGGGACCCATAGAAGGCTGTATGGTGTTGTCGCACTGCCGACATCCTCAGCTTCTCCATCTCAGCCTCCTGGAGACGTTTCGCCTTCGCTCGCCGGTTTTGGAACCATATCTTTACCTGGTGAAGTGACAAAATTCCTGGATTAATGGACCTGGATGTTTGGTGGGTCAATCGGCATTCTTTGTCCCGGACCACCCGGAATAACGGATCACCAGTCAGCGGAAGAATCTCCCATAGAAAGTCATCGTGATTTGTTGAAGCCCCGACAAGTATTCCTCATAATGACTTTTCCATTTTTATTTCTATTCCTAAGCGTTTCATTATTTTCAATCGTTCCTCCTGCTCTCGCGGGTGGAGGAAATCCCAGATGGGCACTCACCGAAGAATCCCGACATGAGGCTCACGATGATTACGCGATGACATGAATTAAAAAAATCCCAAATGATTGTAACGACCAATGAGAAGGGAAAAAATTAACGTGAGTATCTCGGCACCGGAGTCGCGGTGACAAATTGAAATTTTGAGGAGTACTTTCAAGGTGTCCCTTTTTAAGGATTTTTCCTTTCCTCGCCGAGGCCATTGTTGGTCCTGGTGATGCAGGACGACGTCCTGGGAACTGGGTCGAAGAGCCAATTCGAGGCTAGAGGAGCGAGGGGTTCCAGGAAAACGAGGACTCTTCTTACCTGGGTCTCTGTCAGGTGGAGGGACGAGGAGAACTCCGCCCTCTCGGCCACGCTGAGGTATTGCCTTTCCCTGAACTTCTTCTCCAGGGCGAGGAGCTGCTGGGTCGTGAACGGGGTCCTGGGCTTCCTGTTCGGCTTGTGCTTCCGCAAGTTGCACTTGATCTTGGCAGGCTCGCCATTTTCTGCAAACAGAAGAAACGATCCAATTAACCCTCAATCTTCCGCCTCTTCGTATCCTCCATAGCGCTCCAAGAAAAACCAAGACGAAGTAAAGAGAAACGAAAGGAAATCAAGTAAGAAGAAAGAAGAGAGAAGATAAAACGAGACGTCAAGGAAAAGAAAGAAAAAAAAAATGTGGTCCATTTAATAAACTCCTTTGATTGACTGCCTTTTCATTCGTTTCAAAAAACGTTTCGGTCCCGTGATCGGGATTCGCTTTTTTTAACAGTTATAATATAAATCACCAAGTTCAATAGAGCCTTGCGCCAAATACATACACACATGAGTGATTATCTATTTAATATAAAATAGAATAAATCAAGCGTTTCACGTTACGTTTCGCCCCCCTTTCTCAACACGTGACTATTGCGATATAAGAAATTTCCTCGGAAAACTGATCTGCACAATTATCGTCCTCGTCGAAATAGCCTAATCGCGACTTATCAAAGAATTAAATTCTTTAATTTATGAAAAATAGAAATTAAAAAAAAAACAAATGGAACGTCGGACGGCGATATAAAAAATTTCGTCTAGAAACTGAACTGCACAATTACCGTCCTCATCGAAATAGCCTAATCGCGACTTGTCGAAGAATTAAATTCTTTAATTTATGAAAACTAGAAATTAAAAAAAAAACAAATGGAANTAATTTATGAAAAAAATAAAAAAAATAATGATGGAATATCAGACCTTATCGCGAGTTTTCGATGGGTGATAAGCGAGCTCGGGACAATTACTCGATACTAGTACGAAAACGAAAACGTCTCGTTTCGACGGGTTACGATCATCTCGCATAACGAATCGACGAGGGGGGCGCAGGGGGAGGGTTTCTTATCACGCAATTCATAAACTCCACGGTCCGAGGTGCACCAAGAGTGAGTCGGCGTCGTTATTGTTTTTATAACCAGTGCATAAACTCTTAGAAGCCGTTTCCGCGGGGATCGAGAAGAGAGAAAGAGAGAGTGTGTGTTTATATCGCCGGTGAACCCGATTACAACTCGTTTCGACCTTTTTCCCCTGGGTTACTTAATTCAGCCCGAGAATTAATTCCAATTAACTCGCATACATAAATGCGAGGATAAATAGACGATATTCGATATTTTTTCACTCCTCGCAATATATTCGATGTTTTTTAACTCCTCGCAAAATATTTGATATTTTTTAACTCCTCGCAATATATTCGATATTTTTTAACTCCTCGCAAAATACCCGATATTTTTTAACTCCTCGCAAAATATTTGATATTTTTTAACTCCTCGCAAAATATTCGATATTTTTTATCTCCTCGCAATATATTCGATATTTTTTCACTCCTCGCAATATATTCGATATTTTTTCACTCCTCACAAAATATTCGATATTTTTTAACTCCTCGCAAAATATTCGATATTTTTTAACTCCTCGCATAATATTCGATATTTTTTCACTCCTCGCGTTATATTCGATATCTTTTCACTCCTCGCAAAATATCCGATATTTTTTCGCTCCTCGCAAAATATCCGATATTTTTTAACTTCTCGCGAAATATTCGATATTTTTTCACTCCTCGCGATATATTCGATATTTTTTCGCTCCTCGCAAAAAATCCGATATTTTTTCACTCCTCGCAAAATATCCGATATTTTTTCACTCCTCGCAAAATATCCGATATTTTTTCACTCCACGAAAAATATTCGATATTTTTTCACTCCACGAAAAATATTCGATATTTTTTAACTCCTCGCAAAATATCCAATATTTTTTAACTCCTCGTAAAATATTCGATATTTTTCCACTCCTTGCAAAATATCCGATACCCGGTTACTTTCGATATTACAGAGACAATTTAACTATAATTTCTCGTGGTATGGAAACAACTTATTCTATAAAAATTGACATGGGCACTTTGACCAGTGCCAGGGATAAGGAGCCAGATCGAGAAATCGTTATCAAGGGGGGCATCCCGAAAGCCAGGCATCAAAAAGGGTTCGACGGGGTGTATATTCCCGAGATTTGTCGGGCAACAATTGACAGATTTGTAGAGCTCCACGGCGGACTCAAAGGGGGGGAGAGGGAGGGTCGAGATCTCGGCGAGACAAAAGGCTATCTGGCGGGGTTTCTGAATTTCAAATTCGGCTTCCAGTTAAGGCGGTCCCCGGTGCTCTCTCCGGTTCCCCGGTCTCCGTCTCTCCGCGGATATCTCGCTCCCTCTCTCTCCCACTGGCGGTTCCCCCGCATCGTCCGTCCTCTTCCCGGCTCGCTAAGGGTCCAATTAGTCTCGGCATTCGGAATCCGCTCGGTCGCCGACCAAAAACGTCCACTTTAATCCGGCTCCAATCGGGAATGCATTTTAAAATAATTAGCCGGTTTCGCAGGGGTACCGTTCGTCCGCTTAAGAAGGGATCGGCCTCTGTCGAGCCTCTTTGTCTCGTTATGTAATGATGACGAGGACCGATCGGACGTCTCAGAAGTCCGAGACCTCGCCATGCCACCACGGCGGATTTTCCTCAAATTTTCCCGACATTAATTCCGGCCCTTTCTGGAAGTCCTCGAAAATTAATTTCTCAAGATGGATGCCAATCTTATTAAATTTTTAATTTAGTATTTCTCTTTTCTACTTACGCCACGCATTATTCCATTCTTAAACGCGCGTTCATATGAAAATGAATGTCTTCGGCGTTTTCCAAGATGGCTGCCAATCTTACGAATTTTTTAATTTACTATTTCTCTTTTCTAAAAACTCGAGCTCAGGTCATATTTTCATATTTCCTTCAAAACGCCATTTTTCCATTCTTGAAAACGCGTTCATATGAAAATGAATGTCTTCGGCGTTCTCCAAGATGGCTGCCAATCTTACGAATTTTTCACTTGATTATTTCTCTTTTCTAAACATCCAAGCTCAAGTCATATTTTCAAATTTCCTTCAAAACGCCATTCTTCCATTCTTGAAAACGCGTTCATACGAAAACGAATGTTTTCGGCGTTCTCCAAAATGGCTGCCAATCTTACGAATTTTTCAATTGACTATTTCTCTTTTCTAAAAACTCAAGCTCAGGTCATATTTTCATATTTCCTTCAAAACGCCATTTTTCCATTCTTGAAAACGCGTTCATACGAAAACGAATGTCTTCGGCGTTCTCCAAGATGGCTACCAATCTTACGAATTTTTTAATTCATTAGTTCGAAAGCAAGCTCAAGGCATATTTTCATATTTCTTTTTCACCCATTACCATCACCACCAAGAAACGCCACGCATTATTCCATTCTTAAAAGCGCAATCATATGAAAACGAATGTCTTCGGCGTTCTCCAAGATGGCGGCGGCGAGTCTCGGTACCGCGACGCTTATCGCGAGATCGGGGGAAGGAAAATGGCGATTAATTGCGTTAAAACCCGGCGGAATACCCGACGGATTAGGTCAGGAAGCCGAGCTCGACTTGCAGGGCGTGCGTTAGCACTTTCACGGCTCCGGAGAGTCGTACATACCGTTAATCCACGGCAGCCCAGATATCGCTCGTGAGTTTCCTTAAACGATGCGCTTTCGCGCCTAACCCAACCGAAATCAAACAGACCGGAGAGTACGAGTAACGCCGTCGTCTCGGGATTTCTAAACCTCTCCTCGTAAAGGCCCGAGCGAAAAAACGCAGACGTTGCTAACCTCAAAACACGCAAATCGAAGCGAGATGATTACCTCCAATGGCGGCGAAAACAATTAATTTTGAATTTTGAATTACATTAGTTAAGGTGACATGAAAGTGCGATACATACATAAGAAAAAGTGAAAACATTAATAAAACCTTTCTCTCTTTAGAGTTGGAATAACGGAAGGCAGACATCGTAAATCCCGAGGCTCCCGAAACTGATATCGATAAGAACCGAGGAATGATTAATAAAAAACCTGCACGGCGAAGAGGAGCGCGAAGGGAATGATCGCCATTTGTTTAGGGAATATGAAGAACTCCGGGGAGGTGTAAGGAAGAAAAAGGGGGATAAATCTACGGCTTAAGGCGCGAATGGGATATTCATATAGAGGGTAATAAGGAAAGGAGGCATAAAGGTTGGAAGAGGGTGCGAATTTGAGGGTACTCGGTGTAAGAGGTAATATCATTTAGACGGGTCCAAAATCACTTTAAGGGAGAGGAATAAGGGAGATGAAATAAAGAAATTTTCGGAGAGCGAATCGTGTGGCAATGTAATCGCCATATATCTCGCTGATATGGGACACGTCGAGGTGTAATGAAAAAAGGGGAAAGATAATTTAAATACTACCCTTGTGAATAAGGTATGTATAGTGAAGAAAAAGAAGCAATAGTAACTTTGATTGTGGAATGAAAATTAAATATCTGGTAGAGTGGTGATTTGAGTAAAGAGACTCGGCGCTTAGTCGAGACACATCATGGTAAAATTCAAGGAATATTTAATAATAACTTGCAAACCTCTTCCAGAATGAAGAGTACTCTAATAATAGTCGTTAAATGAAAATTAAATACCCGGTAGAGGGATGGTTTGAGTAAAGAGACGTGGCGCTTAGTCGAGGACCATGAATTTGTTGGAAACACATCATGGTAAAATTCAAGGAATATTTAATAATAACTTGCAAACCTCTTCCAGAATGAAGAGTACTCTAATAATAGTCGTTAAATGAAAATTAAATACCCGGTAGAGGGATGATTTGAGTAAAGAGACCCGGCGCTCAATCGAGGCCCATGATCTTGTTCGAGACACATCATGATAAAATTCAAGGAATATTTAATAATAACTTGCAAGCCTCAGTAAACCTCTTCAGGATGAAGAGTACTCTAATAATTGTCGTTAAATGAAAATTAAATATCCGGTAGAGCGATGGTTTGAGTAAAGAGACCCGGCGCTCAATCGAGGCCCATGATCTTGTTCGAGACGCAATCGCCCCCTTACCTCGTATAAAAACTCAAAGAATATTCAATAAAAAATGTCAAATCTCAGAAAATCTCTGTAATGAAAGTAACGATAACAATCGCGGTTAATTTCGGAGATACGAAGATAATGGAGGTGTAAGAAGAAAAACGAGGTGGAGTAAATCGAGGGCCTCGGGGTTAAATTGGCCTCCCCTCGCGGAAGGGGCACCGAGGGAATAAAAAATAGAGAGAGAGAGAGAAAAAAAAATGAGAGAGGCGTCGGAGGCGTAAAAGTTGGAAGAGGCCGCGTATTTGGGGGCACTCGACGTAAGCGGCAATAATTCAGAATTACGACAAGGCCCGCCCCTCCATATGCGAGCAACCCTTCGCGATGATCGCGCTTCTCGGAAGGGCCTCTCGCCTCTCCTCTTTTTCCCTTTTCCTTCTTCCTCCCGTAGGATATAATGCGCCGTGGTGCCTTTCCGGGAGAGACGGATCTTATCGTTCCTGAAAACGTCCCGGGCACCAGCCAGCGCAATTACGAGACCTCGCTAAATGAGGGATGAAATAATCTCCGGAGGAGGGACCGATAAAGACGGAAAGGGACCGCAGAGAGGACGAAGAGACGGAGAAAGGGGGAGAAGAGAGACACGCGAGAGCAAACTGCCGACCGGCAAAGAAACTGATTGCGCGATTAACGCGGTTTTGCCTTTGAGTCTCCTAAAATAACCCTTTTCGAAAATACCCTCTTTTACCTATATACACCATCCTATGTATAACGACGTAAATTAAAAATTCAAGTATTATTTATTAACGCGGTTTTGCCTTTGAGACTAATAAAATAACCCTTTTCGAAAATACCCTCTTTTACCTATATACACCATCCTATCTATAACGATGTAAATTAAAAATTCAAGTATTATTTATTAACGCGGTTTTGCCTTTCAGTCTCCTAAAATAACCCTTTTCGAAAATACCCTCTTTTACCTATATACACCATCCTATCTATAACGATGTAAATTAAAAATTCAAGTATTATTTATTAACGCGGTTTTGCCTTTCAGTCTCCTAAAATAACCCTTTTCGAAAATACCCCCTTTTACCTATATACACCATCTTATCTATAACGACGTAAATTTAACATCTAATTATTATTTATTAACGCGGTTTTGCCTTTGAGACTAATAAAATAATCCTTTTCGAAAATACCCTCTTTTACCTATATACACCATCCTATCTATAACGACGTAAATTAAACATCCAATTATTCGAAAATACCCTCTTTTACTTATATACACCATCCTATCTATAACGAATAATCCTTTTCGAAAATACCCTCTTTTACCTATATACACCATCCTATCTATAACGACGTAAATTAAACATCCAATTATTCGAAAATACCCTCTTTTACTTATATACACCATCCTATCTATAACGACGTAAATTAAACATCTAATTATTTGCCTGTTTTAATTTCATGTAGTATTTTAATTCATGGCTACCCCGAATCGTTTAAAATTTCAGTACGTGATTATGAAGTTCATGATCATAAAATACCACTGCAAATATATTTTTCTCATGTATCCTAGACAAGACCCAAAATTACATTTTTTTTTTTTTTAATGAAATTTCACGCCCATTGCGTTCTATCTTAGGGCCTTCATAATCGCGTGCTGAAATTTCAAATGATTCGGTGCAAGTTTGGAGAAAAGTTATATATATATAGATGATGATAAAAATTTTTTTGTTGTGAAAAATGAAATTTCATGACCATCGCGTTCTTCCTTAGGGCCTTTATGATCGCGTGCTGAAATTTCAAATGATTCGGTGCAAGTTTGGAGAAAAGTTATATATATATAGATGATGATAAAAATTTTTTTGTTGTGAAAAATGAAATTTCATGACCATCGCGTTCTTCCTTAGGGCCTTTATGATCGCGTGCTGAAATTTCAAATGATTCGGTGCAAGTTTGGAGAAACGTTATATATATAGAATGACGCTTTCGTACCACCTTAATACTTTTTCTCAGCGGAGGTAATGAGAATTTTATTCCTTTTAAGTCGAAGTCGTTTAAATTAATGTCACAGAGACGAGACGGTGCCTTTAAGGCGTCACTCGGGTGCAAATTGTTAACACACCGCGCTTCTTTGCTTTTTCCCTTTCCTGCCGAAGGCCTCTTTTCTTTCCAGGTTCCCACGGCTCCCGCGTTCAAGTTTTCATCGAGTTCGCGAACGTGTGAACAAAGCCGAAGAACTCTGTCCGCCGCAAAAAGTCTCGGAGGCCTCTATCCTAATTGCGCGTGCAAACAAGAGTACTGTACGGTGTGCCGAGTCATGAGGAGGAACGTGCAAACATGGCGGAGCAGTTGAGAGAAGTAGTCATACCTTAGTCTGATATTCTAGGGAGTAAATAGCGGTTGAAATTATTCACCGCACTCCAAAGATGACGAGAAAAATATTGACAGATCATTTCTGGATCTTTTAGGTGAAAAAGTGAAGGAAATTAATAATGGAAGGTATGGGTGGCGTCGTAATAAGAAATATACAAAGATGGCGGAGCAGGTGAAAGAAGTAGTCATACCTTAGTCTGATATTCTAGGGAGTAAATAGCGGTTGAAATTATTCACCGCACTCCAGAGATGACGAGGAAAATATTGACAGATGATTTCTGGATCTTTTAGGTGAAAAAGTGAAGGAAATTAATAATGGAAGGTATGAGTGTAGTCGAAATAAGAAATGTACAAAGATGGCGGAGCAGTTGAGAGAAGTAGTTATATCTTAGCATGATATTCCAGGGAGTAAACTGCAAGAAGTGATCACCATCCCTGATGTAGGCGTCATTAACATTAGAACTACCGGCGGATTTATTTTGTATATTGTATTTTGTACACAGGTATATGTATATATACCTGTTTCGTCCTCAAGCAAAGCGTCCCAACCCTTCCAAACAATTGATGTAACGAGTCGAGTATTTTATGTATGTTCGAATTATTAGTACAAACGAGTAGCTCGTCCTGAGATATCAATCGCGCCTTATTCGGTTATTCGAATCGCTTTACTCTCCAACTCGCCATTTACTTGGGTTGGGGCACAAATTCGTGCGTTTTTTTTTTTACAACTAGGGAAACTGTTACAAAAAAAAACGCACGAGCTTACGCACCAACCAAATATATTCGACTCGTCACGTGGCTATACCAAGCTCGGCCTAATATATGGAATCAATATACAAAGCCAAGAGAAAAGTATACCGTTAAGTGGTGCATGGTGCGAGAAGTGTGCCGGGAAGAAGGACGGCGACGCGGCAGCGGCGGCGGCTGCGGCGGCGGCGGCGGCGGCGGCAGCAGCGGACGTCTGATGCGCGGATCCCCAGACAGCATGGTGCAGATTCTCGGGGATGGCGGAGACAGGGCCCAGCGAAGGAAATGGACCCATGTACGCAGGAGTGGGTCTGACGGGTGCAGCCCCAGGAGTGACGTGCCGTTGTTGGATCTGCTGGAGGTCCTCGACGTCGACGAGGCTGCCGGAGTCGTCCTCCTCGTCGACGGAGACGGGGGCGTTGTCGGCATCGGGATAATAAAACCGAGCATCGCCGCCGTGGGAAGAGGACCCAGAGGACCTGGACGCGAAGTCCCGGATGCCAATGGTGGTCGGGGTGGGCGAGGGCGAGGGGTTGGTCATGGCGTCGCGCCGTCCAGGCGACCCGGGGAGGTCGAACCCCGGAGGTGGCGACCTCCCCTCAGGGTCTAGGACGGTCCCGTACTTCGTAGGGATAGGTTGACCCACCGGAGAGTGTCGTTCCCTGTGGAGACGGTCATGGTGCCGATGAGCCGGAGACGGGGGGGAGGCCTCGTCGATCTCGTTGGTGTCCGCCAGGAGAGCGGCCACGGAGAAGCTGAGGCGGTGCGTCGCGGGCCTCGAGGGTGGCTTGGGGGCGAGCGTCTCCTCGGCGAAGCCCGGGCTCGTGGATGGCGGTGCTACCAGCGACGTCATCCTGAGTACTGTCATCCTCGGAGTCCCGGGGGGCGCCGGTTCCCGAGTCACTGGGTCCGGGCCTCTGCCTCCCGGGGCCCGATCGGCGGACCGGCCGTCCCGGACATAAGATGGAGACCCCCTGCCGAGAACCCCTTCGCGACCCGAGGAACTCTCCTCCACTTGGTCTCCCCCAGGTACACAGGTACTCCCCGAAGCCGTCCACCCGGACTACCAGGACACCCAGGGATCAAAACATGCCCTCGACAACCTTCCTTTCTCACAAACTTTATTCTCAGATACACGGTACCGCGACGCCACCCGCTGGGAAGGATCCTCTAGGTCGACCCCAGGGTACCACTCCGCCGTCGGTGAGTTCCCACGTCGCTATCGACCTCCGTCCAACGGTCCACGTCCTGGGCCTCGATGACCTCCAACCCCACCTTCGGCCTCCTGGACGAATCTTCACCGCCACCCTCTGTCGTCTTCTCTCCTCGCTCAGGACCGTCGGCGAGTCGCAACGTTCTCAACGAAGTGGATTCTCTTCTTTCTTCCTTCCTAATTCTCTTCCGCTTCTCTTTTCCTATCTCCCGGACGATTCCTCTTCCGTCGGCCTCCTCTTGCTATCCACGAAACTCGCACTCCAGGGTCCACCGAGGGCGTCCCGACGCCTGCTGGGAGAACTCGGGGTCGAGGTACGTCCTTTGCACCCTTTCCGACCCTCGCGCGAGTGGATCGATGGCCGTCGGGCAGGCTGACGAGGATCTTAACGAGGCGAAGGCACCGAGTGGACTGACTGGTCATCTGGTTAGATGGAAATGACTTTTTCCTTTTGCCGGGTCTCGGGTCCCGGGAGCCGGGCGAGCCCGGCGGAGAGGGGAGAGAGGGGAGCGCCGCGAGGGGCGTGGCCTCGCTCGAGGCCGGCAGGCCCCGCCCACTGACTGCCGGGATCCGGCTCCCTGTCCCCGCCGTTTCCCCTACAGTTGATCCGCGACCTCGCGGGGAGTGGGGCGCGACGCGGCCCGGAGAGATCCGATCGCGACTCGGTTCCCTACCGTGGACGACGATAATGAACGCAATTGACCAATTAGCCCCGCTGATTATGGCAAGAAATAACCCCCGGGTCATTTTTGTAAACGCGAGGCTTGCCGCCTCTAACGAAACCCCCCCCCCCCCGGCCGGGGGGTGGAATTTCCTCTACTTTCGAGGGATGAATATTAATTAGCCCGAGGGCACTCGATGCTCGTTAACAGGATATACCTGCGTTCACGAGGGAGTGGTTTAATGCTCTCCATTTGTAACGAAAGAATTATTAAGGCGAGCGGTACGTGTCGAGTACCTGACGTAATTACCTGGCGCGAAAAGTAGTACCTTCGTTCATAACCTCTACCCGATAACAAAGGGTACCTATCAAAGCCCTAACATCTCATTAAGCATATGAGTTAAATTATAGAAAATTGTAACGTGATATCAGAATAAATTGAAATAAAAATTCCCCAGTACGGTAAATATACAAACCTAATTTATAAAGTATGTAAAAATGGTGTGTAAATTTCTATCGATTTTTACCAGGGTCCCGACGCCCAGATTTTATTTCTTGAGAAGAATTTCATTTTTCAGTAATGTGTAAAGAACAAGTTTTGAGAAAATTAAAGCGTCACGGGCCCGATTAGGAAATCCGATTTCTGTAAATCCCAGCTCGTCCAATTTAGCCCTATCCCCTCATGGGCCTGGGAAAGGGGGGAGCCTCCCCCTCTTATTCCACGGAGGGGTCGACCAGCTAATTCCACTTTGGCATCGATTTTCCTGGCAACTGCCGCTTCTTTTTTTTTTTTTCCTTTCTTTCTTTCCCCCCTTTGATGCCAACTTAAGTCAATTAAGTGCGTATCGTGCCGCGTTACGTCGGCGGGATTTAATTGACGAGATTGTCTCGTGGACAATCCCCCGGAGGGGGGACTCCTTCGGGACAAACGAGGAGCTCGACTCGGTTTCACTTTATCCGAGAGGCTGCGTGGAATCGGGACTTGGCCGTACCTCGAAAGGCGAAAAACGATACGCCTTGGAATTCTATGGCCCTTTATGAGGATTTAAACGACTCGGGATGGCGTGCGCTCGGTTCCGCCGTTCCCGACACCCACTGTGGTCACTTTACAAGCGGACTTTCACGGCTACGTAGGAGGGCATTGTCGATCGAGTGTCCCCGCCGAGGATTCGAGTGCCCTTCTTGGGCGGCTGGAAGGACAATGCGCACCCGGAAAGGGATCTTCAGCCTTCCTCGTCGATTTTTGACACATTCCGCCACTGACTGGGGGGGCATGCTTTCAGCCGAAATTTTACGCCGAGGATGGATTCTCCGGGAGAGCGTACGCTGTTAAAGAAATTCATAAAATTAATAGTACTATTCATACGATATAGTACAAAATCATACAATTAATTGTATTGTTCATGCAATATAGTACAAAATCATACAATTAATTGTACTATTCATGCAATATAGTACAAAATCATAAAATTAATTGTACTATTCATGCAATATAGTACAAATTCAGAAAATTAATAGTACTATTCATGCAATATAGTACAAATTCATATAGACGATTAATGAAATTCATAGACTTTTAGTACGTAAGGCTGTAATAAAAATGTATAAATTTGACGTCTTAAAGGTGAATTAGTATAGGTTTGCTACAAACTTCTGAATAAATTTACAATTTTATAACATTTCAAGAAAAAAGCCCAAATCTCCAGTTAAGGGGATGTGAAAGTGTCATCCGAAAGCTCAATCGTTCATAAAACCTTTCTACTACCTGGGTGTCTCAAATCGTTTCATACTTTAAAACGTGAATACGGAGACCTTAAGGTAGGTCCTGAAATTCGGGAAATTTCAATTTTTATAAACTATTTTTAAAATACCTATAAAGAAATTACAAAAGAATTGAATTTTCTCGAATTTCAGGACCTTCCTTATAGTCTCCCTATTCACGTTGTAAAGTTTCAGCCTATTCGGTAAACCGAGTTGGGAGAAAAGTGTTATAAACAAAACCTCATCGCCGCCACTTTCACATCACCTTAAGGATGTCAGTGCATCCGAAAACAATTTATCTCTGAATTTTTCCGTCTCGGAAGTTAACCGGGAGGCGGTCGGAAGGTCGGCGGATAATGGGCCCTATATACGGGGCCTCGTTACGGTGGGCCCACGATCGGCGGCGGGCCCGAAGGTCGGGAAAATCGCGTCTCCTCTCGGCGGGGTCCAAATCGTCGAACAGTCCGACTGGAGTGGCCGGGCCCATTGTCGTGCGGTCGCAGCTGCTCGACTTCTTGGACCTCTTAAATCGTAATTATGCAGCGCGGGCGAAAGGGGCCCACTTTCCGGCGTGTTTCGCTCGGAAACCGACCCCTGGCCGGGGACAATAGTCGCGTGACGAATCGGCCTCCGAAGATTGCACCATTGTCGAGGGCGTGAGGCCCCTCCGGAACGGTTTCCTGGGTCCGCAGCCTCCGAAGATCCGCGCGCGGGCCCAACCGGGCCCGACCGGGCCCGATCAGGTCTACCCAAGCCCTACCGGGGCTCCAGGTCCTGCCTACACCACCCACGCCACCCGGAGGTCCCCCGGAACCGTTCCGGGGCCCGTAAGGCCCCGCGGACACACTTTGATGCCCAGCGGGAATCGACTCGACAATTGCACCCATTCAGAAACAAACTAAATGATATTTTGATGCTGGAAGTGGAACCCCTCGGCCCACCTGAAGGCCCTCGACGGGGCCCTACGGCCCCCCGGTGCTCGTCGCGGTCCTCGGGCCCCGGACTGGAAAATGGCGCTACGACCGGAGGCGAGTCCTTTCAGAAACAAACTAGGCGGTATTTGTCCTGCGACACCTCCGAAATCCTCGAATTCAAGAGTCAAGGGGAACCCCGTCGGGCCCCTCTGGCCGCCATCTTGGGCCCAAACGCGATCCATGCGATCCTGCACCTGTCGGTGGAAGATTCATTACCTTCTCTGAACGGCGCTTTAATTGCGTTCTCGTTTTAACCCTCTTTCTTCATTTCGGAACGTTAAGGCCCATTTATATTTTTTCTTATTTTTAGGTGCAACTGCTTAACCATGAAAAATTTCACCGATTTAACGAAATTCGTTTCGAATACTCTCACGGAGGTCATTTATTAAACAGAGAATTGTCATGTCAACTAAACGTTTGATTGCCAATATGACTATATTCCACAGTGGAATAAAAAAAATCACACGAATTTAATCCTTTGAACACGGAGCCATTTCGACATACGGGCGAAATTCGTCCGACCGTGCAGGCAATATTGGACCAAACGTCGGGCGCCTTACGTCACTCTTTGTAGCCAAAGGGTTAACGAAATTTATTTCTAGTACTCTCATGTAGGTGACGTCGAAACTTATTAACCAAATATTTGACTGACGATGTAACTACATTCCATGGTGCGATAAAAAAAATCGCACGAATTTAATCCTTTGAACACGGAGCCATTTCGACATACGGGCGAAATTCGTCTGACCGTGCAAGCAACATTGGACCAAACGTCGGGCGCCTTACGTCGCTCTTTGTAGCCAAAAGGTTAACGAAATTTATTTCTAGTACTCTCATGTAGGTGACATCGAAACTTATTAACCAAATATTTGACTGACGATGTAACTACATTCCCTGGTGGGATAAAAAAAATTTCCCGGATTTAACGAAATTTGTTTCCAGTACTCCACGTGTGTATATATATATATAGTTATGACGTCTCCGAGCTTCTCGATCGTCCTCCCTCGGGACGTAGAGTCCCGGGCCCGTTTCGCGACATTGAGTTAAAGAGTTCTCGGCGGATTTCTCGGAGGTACCAAAATTATCCGCAGCCGCGGCCGCTAACGCATCGTCGAGCTCCTGCTGGCGTAATAACGCGCGCGCACGTATAATTAAGTGTACGTTTACGAGACGCGGCACGAGGGAGGAGTTTACGGCGGGTTTCTTGCGCCGGTATATATCGCGGGCCCGACTTTTAATACCGCGGGGCCCGATTATCCCCCGAGATCCTCGCACGCGCTGTCGGCGCCGATTTCTCGCGAGGGGATCTTAATCGTGGCTTACTCGTGAAATCTTAATCCCGGAATGCCTGGATATTCTCCATTTTTATCTCGACGTTTATACCGCGGGGCCTGATAGCCCTTAATCAACATCGCGCATTTTCGACGAGGTTCAAAAATTCGACATCACCTGAGGATCATATCGCATTATGTCGTCACGAGATGGGTTCGATGTCTTTTACTTAATTTATCTATTTTCAGTCGCATCGTTCATGCCAAAATCACTCTCAACGCTCTGAGACATTTAAGGTGATATGAAAGGGCCCTATCATTTCAATATCACTCTCAATAGTTTGAAACATTTGATTTTTCATAATGATGCTCCAATTATCAAAAATATATAAGCCGTTTATATATATATATATGTGTTACCGTGAATTGGAGAATGTCGACTTTCACCGGTGAATGTCAACCGATACCAAATACGTCGGTGAAAGATCGAATATTTCATTACATTGTTGTACATTCGGACCCTCTCCAGTGTGTGTCGACAATCACACACCGGTGAATGTCAACATTTACCGGTGAAAGTCGACATTCTCCAGATTTCGGTGTTTCACCGTAACATATATATATATTTTTTTTTTTAGGAGCCCACGACTGTACTTCGTGGGCCTGATTACCACCACGGGGCCTTATTATTTCCAAATTACTCGAGATCTTCATATCTTCCGACACCTCGATTCCACGTGATCT